AAGTCTTGTGAAGTCTTGTGAAGTCTTGTGAAGTCTTGCGAAGTCTAGCGAAGTCTTGTGAAGTCTTGTGAAGTCTTGCGAAGTCTAGCGAAGTCTTGTGAAGTCTTGTGAAGTCTTTTGAAGTTTTATGAAGTCTTGTGAAGTCTTATAAAGTCTTATAAAGTCTCAAGAAGTCCTACAAAGTCTCTGAAGTCTCTGAAGTCTCATGAAGTCCGTGAAGTCTCATGAAGTCCGTGAAGTCTCACGAAGTCTGTGAAGTCTAACGAAGTCTGTTGAAGTCTTTTGAAGTCCCATGAAGTCATACGAAGTCTTATGAAGTCTTGCGAAGTCATTTGAAGTCCTATGAAGTCTTCAGAAGTCTTTAAAAGTCTTTAGAAGTCCTGTGAAAATATGAAGTCACTGCGGCTGAAGTCTGTTGAAGTCTTTTGAAGTCTTGAAGTCTTGAAGTCCGCTGGTTCCCCCTTGGGAATAAGTTACCACTCCAATATACTATCACTTACATAAATATTTCGCTAAACCAAACATAGCAGAAAGAATTTTAAGTGTCCTCTCTTTTTTTTTGTACGCCTTGAATGGAATGGATTAGTTTTCAAATATTTGATCATTAATATTTACATATATTTGCGATGAGAAAATACCAATATGTCAATGATTATCTACATATTTGTATAAGATCCGTATATTTCAAATATAATTCTTCATTGAATAATACTTCATCGATAAAATGAGATTTTGCGCATATTTTTTTTTGCATTTAATAATTAATTCACTCGTTCTTTCTATTTGAATTCATTAAAACCATTAGAATTGACTCACATATTGCTCCACACATTACTCATCATCAATTATAAACTAAACAGTAGATCTAAGACGATTCATTTATATTTATATGAGTGTGGGTAAGGGTGTACTGAGTGTGAAGACAAGATACATACCCACATTCTCAAGTAAACAATTCATTTGGTTTGTCCACCGAAATATTTGAAGCGATATTTAAAAAAATGTTGTTTATTATTGATACAAATTTGTGGACTAATGAATTACTAGTTTGAGTTTTGTATTCATCTGAAGAAATAATGAACGTGCTAATGTAATTATTCGAATAGAATCGTATCAACACAATTGAAAATGATTGTATTAGCTAATTCACAAAAGCGTCGCAAAGATGGAAATGAGGGCTGAACGATACTGTCGAAAATCATGAAATCGTTCCTATTTCAGCAAAAAAAAAACATTAAACTCACAAAAAGTCAAGTAGAAAGGTATTTATACATGAAAACATATCAACATATAGGAGAGATAGAAAAGTTTCTAGAAGAAATGCATATAACATGTTTATAATATAAGCAAAAATAAATAAGATTTCTGTCACTCCGAAGACAACATCTAGCAGAAATCAAAAACTTTCGAAATAAAATCGATCAATGATGTTTACCTTGTTAAGCGAAAATCCATAATGGAGAGTGAGAAATACATAAAACCTGTCTATATTGTATGAACAAATGAATGAAATTTTTTCACTCTTAAGACGAATGAGATGTTTTTGTTTGTTATTTGGTAAGTAGAAGCGTATTATAAGGAAGGAAAGATTGAGTGCTTATAGAAATTTTCCCTTTAAATGGAAATGATTTCTCCATCGATGGATCGTATCGTGCATTGCTGGACGCGGGTTTCACCCGCTGATCTACATCTATTGAGAATCATATAAACTTCTATGTTCAGTGTCTCATCTCGTATACTTGCTGAGATTTGAGGTGTAACACTTTTGTCAAGTAATATATGTACATTCTCATTCCTAAAGATAATAGATATCGAACATTATAAAAGTCACGAACATTTTTTCTTAAAATATTATTTCAAATAATTCATCATAAAATCTATTTCATTGAAAATTTTTACGTAGTAATGATTTTAATTTAACTAGACTAATAGTTTCACGTTTATCAAATGTGTAAAGATCTACTATGATTGTTTTCTATTAGATTCTATTTTGTTTACATGTATTTAATAAAATAAAAACAAAGTAAAATGTGTTATATGTTAGATTTTTCAAAGATAATTTTCGACTTTTTTAACAAAAAATTTATCATCTTAACGATTGTTATTGACGTCTTCTATTATTAATATATTTTTTTTTTTTTAACACAATCAATATTTCTTTCAAAATAAGTAAGAATAAATAAAACTAAATGTAAATTAGTTTATGTGTAATACTCACAGAACAATTCTTCGAATTCTGCCCCTTACTGTAAGAAATTCTTTTATGTATGTATTTGAAGGTAAAACGAATCAGAGCTCCACGTGGGATAGGACAGTTTCATGGGACTAAGAAATATTATATGAATCTGGTGTTCATCCGAGATTTCAGTGCTAATAGCATCCAACAAAGCGAAATATTCTTAAGGAAAAAGAATTAATGAGATAAAATTTTTGATACTAATATCGGTATAAAGTTTTTGAAGCTGAAATCTTCATAGAATTGTGCCAACTCCTTCACAACTTCCAAGAAACATCTCTGCAAAAATTTTATTAACGCTATATCATCAAAAATTTTACATTTATTTTAGCATCGAAAATTTTACCCCTTTATTTTTTTTTCTTAAAAATTTGTTGCTTTTTCTCGATACTATTAACATTGAATTCTTTCATTTACTGATGAAATATGACATAGAATAATATTATAATTCATAGTCTTAGTCAATCGATGATAGTTAAATAAATTTCACTTCTTAAAAGGTATTTGACATGTTAGGTGTCCCATGGGATTCATTTTTACGTCCCATCCTATCCCACGCGGAACTCTGAAACGAATACAAAAAAAAATGTAAGAGATGGTGGATTAAATGATATAAAGTAACCAGAAATATACAATGATGGATTTCGAGCTGATTTCATACAATCGGATGTAAATGAAATTATTAAACGAGATGTAACTAGTAAAATTAAAATAAATGAACTAATAAGTAAATATTTATGTGTAAGAAGTTGTTTTTTTAAGTAATCACGATAATTTTCTTGTTTTCGAGCAGTAACAATAATAATAATTATCGATGTCAAAATATTTATCAAAAATAAAATAACAAAATGAATTATATATTTGAAGAAAAGATGAATATTGAATTAAAAACCATCATCTTTATTCTTCTTCATCATAAATAAGTCGATGATTTATTAGTTCATGTAAAATACTAAGGATATTAATTAAAAATATACCAATAATAAATAACTCATCGAACTTTTCGTTTACTTTTATTCGTATTAAAGTTAGTGCCCGTGATATTTGAATTAAGTCAATTGACAGTTATTAGATATCATCGAAGTAAAAAAGTCAATTGAAATACATGATATTGATGGAATTGTTTTATTTTATATCAGTAATATTTGTAAAAGAATTAATATTAAATATTTAATTGAAAATATAATAGTTGTACATAATGAAACAATTTATGTAATTAAAAGATAATATCTACATATTAATGCATTTAATTGTTTTCTTTGAAATATCATTATTGACAAAGAATTATTCATAAGGCCAATAACTAACACAATTGTAGCTAAAGCAATACTAATTTTAACAATAATTAATTAGTTTTAACATATAGAATGAAGTATTCATTAGAAATTAGAATAATGATTATATGAAATGATATCGATGTGCGAATCATTACCATATCTTGGTCATATGGAATTTTTGTTATCAATGGATCAGCTCTTGTTTGTAAAGTAATCAAATGAAGAAGAAGAGAACGTGAAATTTCAATTTGATGAAATGATATATATATATTGTTGATTTAACTATTTCACAATTTTTACCTTTAAATCCAGATAAACATAAACATAGATAAGACTTTATTGAAATACGTTGATCATTAGAAATATATAGATCATTAATTTTTACAAGTTTCTTCTCGACAAATTGATTGAAGTCGACAACATTGTTCATAGATTCCAAGTGAACAAAGGTAAATTGAATCAGATGAACAAACAATCACATTTATATTGTATTGTACAATTAATATCAGTCCAATCTGAATAACAATGATAAAAATATTGACTTTGATTATTAACATAAGTTAAACATTGAACAATTATTAATAGAAGAAACTGGATGAAAAGAAATCATTAGAAGATGAACAGATATTTTATTTATAGGATAGAAAAAAATTTAACTGATAATATTCAACTAGTATGATAAGAGATGTTTATTTTATTGTAAACGTCAATTTATATATTATAAGTTTTTGTTATATATCTTTTGATCTTGATTTATATAGAAGATAATTAAAATATTTATTTTCACATTTATGTATAGTTTTATATGTTATTTGTTCATAATCATGAATAACATTATCTTGATCAATTAAAGTAATAACAATACCAAATATTCCTTGACAATTTCTTTCATAAATTCGAGAAAATTGAAGTATTAAACTAACACATTGACTTTGAAATTAGTATCGATCTCCATAATAACTTCGATGACAAAGACAACGTATTGTCATTAATATTTCAACATAAATTTTAATATCACGTCTACATATATTAAAATTATCAATAGGAAATTTATTGTTACAAATTGGATTGTCTTGATTCATAGTTGACCTTATTAATGAATTCGATAGCTCTAAAAATACATCTAAATCAGACATTGTCGGAATCAAATTCAAGAGAATATCTCCATTCATAGTTAATGATGAAATGTTTACCTGTGGACGTTTAAACATGAAGTGTTTATAGTTAGGAAACATAAGTTTTCTATCGTTATTTAGACATTTGATGAAATCTCTAAGATCCTTTGAACAATTATTTATATGAATGAATAAAAATAGGTCTTCGTCACAAATGTAAAACATTTGAAATGCAGATTCTATCATTCCAACACTTTTTGGATGTATTAATCGACAAAATGATCTTTCATCTGTAGATCCAAGACAATTGATAATTTCATTTCCAGCTTGATGAACAGGTAGATACATCATTTTCTGTATTATTGATGAGATTCATTCATGAGTATCTCGAAAACAATTGTTTAATTCACAATTTAATTCATTAATTCCATTTAAACAATACCATACTCCATCACATCGAGTATATAAATTATTACATAGCCAATAATCACAATTTGTTTCATCTGTTTCGTTAGTTCCATTGATAAGAATGGACAACATATGTACAAATCCATTGCATAATCTTTTATATACAATTTCTTTAGAATTATTTAAAATTTCATCTTCACCTTCACGACAATCTTTTAGAGAATTTCGAATTTGAATGTCTGATATACATTTATTTTCAAACGTACAGTTAAAACGATATTCATGATTCCATTAACATGTATCGATATCATATTCGTCAGTACCTTTATAACAATCTTGAAGGGTGGATGTGGATGTGAATGCTCTGTTTAGCTATACCTCACACCTACATTCTCACCCTTACGCCAATCAAGACAAATATCTGTTGATCATCGATTACATTTTAAATATATATAACATGTCCTATTTAGTTTTTGTCAATGAATATTTTGGATTGAATGTTTTCTTAACGATTTCATTAAATGTATGTTGATAATATGTACCAAATCATAATGATGAACAATTGTAGAAGATATCAAATTTTGCTGGTAAATCAAGATATTTATCATAGCGTTCGATAAGATCAATTGGTGCCGACCATAAAACCAAATTTTGTGTAATTACCTGCTTTGTTCACAATTCTTAAAGTGTCAACAGAGATAAAACATTTCCTTCATTTATTTAATGGTAAACTTCACTTTCCGATGATGAACGTATACAATATGGAATGATTTGAGAATTATTTTTGAAACTACTTGCCGTTCCTAAATTTTGGATATTGAGATCGAATACTTCATAATATAAATAATCGAAGTACCTATGACTAATTAGTACTTTGCTCGAACTGTATAATATAAATAAAATTTTCCTTAAAACATCTTGTCGAAATAAAATCCAAATCCACAAGATAGGTTACAGAAACATTGCAAAACAAACTTTCAACTGAACTATACGAGAATGCTCAAGATATATTTTGAAAGTAAACTGAGAAAAAAACAAATAATGAGATGGAAATATTAGTTCTCTCATAAAACATGTAGAATATTTAATTCAATGTGTCTTTTAAAAGTAATAATACATCTAGAAGGATATGTAAGATATATGAAACATTGTTGTTTATGCCATTGTTATATTTTGAATATATATTTATTTTTTTCTTCTTGATCCTCTCTCTTCCAGTATATCTATCACGTTTTGTCAGTATTCCATTTTAGATAATTCTACTCTTCCTAATACATCTTTTTTTCTTCACTGTACTAGTGCATTTTGATTATTATGCAACTTTAATTCTTTGCATACCCAATATAAATACGAAAACATCGGATTTAAATCCGAGTGTTATGTGTACTTGAAAAAGTGAACAGGTATATTCATTTTGTTTTTTATCGTCTGAGACTATTTTCTGTCTTAACTGTAGTTTTTATGCATTTTTAGACGATGTTTTGTTAGAAAGCTACAATTTGGTTCAAAACAAAAAAATTTTTTTTTTTAAATCCCTGTACCCCCCTTCAGGGATGGTCTGATCAATAATGACAATTTTTCTATAACTCAACCATTTCTTAACGGATCCTTCTCATTTTTGAACTTGACTGAGACATTGTTAAGACTGAACTGTGTAGAAGATTTCATCATGATCGGACTCTCCTTTCGAAAGTTATCGTGTAAACGACCGGACGGACACACTGATCGATTCTAGAATGTACTCACTTTTTGAGTACACAATTAATAGAGTGCTTGCAAAACAAGTGAACACTCAGAGACTGATATTTGAAAGTTTCAGTAGATAAAGTGCATTTAGTTGACTTCACGAACAATCAAAACGGTTGAGTATTAGAAAACATTTTCCATGTATTCTGTTTTTTTCTTCAATCCACCATCATCCATATCTTTTGTCTGTGAATAGATCTACTCGAGTTATATATGTACTCGAAATATCAGATGTTTATCATTCTGATTAAGGAAAATGTGTTGGAAAGTTTAGTGATTCATAATTTTTGCTTGGGATAAGGTAAAAGTCTGGAATTTTTACTGTCGATAGAACAATAAAAGATGTGTATCAAAGAGAGAAATTAGAAGCATTCTATTAAATCTACAACTTGATAAAAATATGAGCACAATCTCTGTTCGAATGACTTTAAGAGATATATTGAAAAATATCAAAAAACAACACCTTTCTCATAGGAAATTCTGTTTAGGTTTCCTTCGAAAGTTTTTGAAGAACTTCCTTCTATCGGATGAATTATATCCTGTAAAGGTAAGTAATGCAACTTCTATTATCTTTCATGTGAATATTCTTTCAAAAATTCTCATACTCTTTCAGGTTTCTTAAGGTTTAATAGAATGCTTTCAATTTCTATATGGGATACACATCTTTTATTGTTCTATCAATAGTAAAAATTTCAGACTTTTAACTTATCCTTCGTAAAAATTATGAATCATCAAAGTTTCCAACACATTTTCATTCTTCATATGTGCTATTTTTCCTAATCAGAATGATAAGCATCTGATATTTCGAGTACGTATAGAACTCGAATAGATCTATTCACAGGCTAAAGATATAGGTGCTGGTAAATTGAAAAAATCAGGATACATCGGAAAATTTTTCTAATATTCAACCTGTTTGTGTGGTTGTGGAGCTAACTCCAGAAGTTCTATCTACTGAAAGTATCAAATCTCAGTTCATCGATGATCGCCTATGTAATAAACACCTATATTAATGGTGTACATCGCTTATGCCTATAAGAATCGCAGAAAATTGTGCATGAACTGTGAATTTCGAACTTTAATCACCTCATATTTCTTTATCAATTATAGTTACACAGTTTAAAACCCAAAGCATTATTCATACTCATATCGTAAAATTTGATATTTCGTTGTTTTCCTACTAAGCAGTAAAAAAAAGATCTTGTAACACTGAAGAAAGTACTTTACAAGTGATCTGGACTTCTTTGGACTGAAGAAAAACAAGATATAGCTTTTATTATCATGTTCATGAGTAGTCTAAATAAAAGGAAGCTGACTTCCATTGATTAGTCTTTTCTAAACTCTGTAAAGTACAAAATAGTTATTTTTGGCTATGAGTGTTGATGTCACTTCTGGTTATAATCGTATCCATACTCGATTTGGCTTTGGAATAGTATAATAGGGACTCATCGATCTCATAAGAAAATGTTTTATACTTTTGTTTGCAAAACTTGTGTTGACCTAAACTATTTAATAGTGATTTAATTCCTTTCGTAATCTATCAATTCTCAAGAGGCTCGACTGTTGTGTCACTACCGAAAATGAAACTGATCTGCTCCATACTGCAGTAAGAACCAATTGAAATTTCCTGTTTTTCTTTTCTCATATTTTTGTGTCTCAAGTATTTGAAAGACCTTAGGGATTCTCTGTACGGATCGATTCATAGAACTTTTGTACTGCTTTTGAAGGTACATATTGTGAAAAAGAAATTCCATATCCTATTATTTTCTTTAGTCGAGATATATTCAACATAGTGGTAATTGACCATGTCATATGAGTTGTTCATTTTAAGTATAAGAAAAATTCTTACAAAAGATAAAATTGAATTCAATCTTATAGGATTCAGTGTTCAACATAGATATATCAAAATATACCGCACATTCTGGCCTTTCTCACTATGGATACTAGATTAAAAAATAAAAGACGTTTAGAAACAAAAACATAAGAAAAGAAAGGCAAGAAATTTCAATTAGCTCCTACTGTATTTTCAAATCAATTGAAATTCATCTATACCTTATAGTTGATCATGATTTCACCATCTAATGAAATGTCTTTACAATGGAAAGATCTCACAGAATTTATTTGACAACATAACGCATCGATAGTTTGTGTCAGAGGCGGCAGAGGAATTTTTCAGCGTGTAAAATTTCGGTTTTCGAACATCGGGCCTAGGTGAAACTGATAGCGGATCTAAATGATGAACTTTTAAGAAATAAATTTTGTATTTGGAGCTTGCGAAAAAATTTAGCAGTTTCCCGAATCTCGCCTAGGTTTCACTGTTCGTTTTGTTAGGATTTTATTTTTTAGAATTTCATAGCAAGCTACATCAAATTTTATCGATAAATTTCAAGTTTCATTGAAAAATATACAAACATTCAAGAGTTATAACATTTCAAAAATTTCCTACATATTAAACCACTTTTATCAAAAACTTACAATGTGATAATCCTAGAATGGTTGCATAGTTTTCAATGAAATTTGAAATTTGTCGATAAAATTTGATGTAGCTTGCTATGAAATTCTAAAAAATACAATCCTAATAAAACGAACAGAGAAACCTAGGTGAGATTTAGGAAACTCCTAAATTTTTTCGCAAGCTCCGAATACAAAATTTCTGTCTTAAAAGTTCATCATTTAGATTCGCTATCACACTTTATGACTTTCATCTAGGCTCCATGTTCGGAAACCGAAATTTTACACTGAAAAATCCCTCCGCCGCCTCTATTTTGTGTGCACTTATTCAACGACAACGAATAGTAGAAATCATGACTATTCTTTTTTTAAATCAAGTCTACTTTTTCATGTGTGTCATACATATTAAAATATCGTCTTGCATATTTGTTAGTTGTTAAAGTCATGTACGTCACAAAAGTCATGAGTGAAATATGAGTTTCTTTGTGTTCAATTTTTATTACAATTATATAGAAAAAATTTTTCTGATCTATTTAAACATTCTTATAATGAAAGATAAATTCAGATTTTCTTTTCTAGGCTAAGTATCAAAGACGTGCACCGCGTGCGCTGGGGGCGGAGGGCGGAGCGCAGGCGGGTGGGTGTGGGTGTGGGTACTTATCCTTTGTCTACTTCTACAACCACATACACACCCACACCCACATCCTATTTTAGAATTTTCAATAAAAGTTTAGATTTTTTAAAACTAAGATAACAAAAAATTTAGAAAAGAAAATGTAATCATAATATGACAAAGACGTTTGTTTATTTCCATTAGAAATATTTTTTTGTGTTTTTTAGTAAGATTTGAAATGTGGAAATGACGAAAAACTGTTTCTCTATTAAAATCGAAATTAAAACTCAAAGTTTCTAAAAATCTCTTTTTATTTAATAATAATATTCAAATTAAGAAGAAAAAAATGTTTTTAAATTTAAAATAAAAAATAAAATACTTATGAAAATATTTAGATAAATTAACAAATTAAATTATAAGAAAATTTTACTTTTTTATTTAAACTTGAAATAAATAAAATTTATAAATCTCTAATTTGCTGTTTAATTTTTTTTTATGAGAAAAGGTCTTTCTTTCATTCAGAACATTAATATTCAAATATATAAATGAAGAAGAAAAAAATTGATTTTTTTTTGTAAATATGAAATAATTATAATTTTAATCAATTTTTTGAAAATTTAATAACAAAATATATTCAAAAAGAAAAAATCATTTCTTTTTATGAATTCAAATTTAACTTCTTTCTACATATATTTTATATAAATAATTATTCTAATTTAATTTTTATTTCTTAATTATTTTATTTAGTAAATATCTTTTGTTACAGATATTCAATAAAAACAGTTAATTATTTTTAATATATCTTTAATATTTCATTAATAGAAACTAATATATAAAATTATCCAAATATATTTATTATTTATCTTCTTCTTTCGATTGTTAAAATATTTAAAAGAAAATGATTTGAGTTCATAGAATTATTAGATTATATTTATTTTAATATTAATTAAAAATAAATGATCTAATTATTTATTATCTTGACAAAAAAATATTTTTATAATAAAATAAAATTTCTATTATATTTCGTTTATTAAGCAGTTTAATCTAATCTATTAATTATTTGCAATAAAACTTTCGATAAAGTGATCGGATTAAATAAAAAAAAGAAAAAATCGATTTGTTTTGAAAATTAATAAAATCAATTTTTAACAGAATTCTATTCTCACTTCGAATTATTTTCATTAGTTTCTTAATTGAAAAAAATTATTTAATAAAATAAGAAAATTTTCAAGTTATTAACTTTTTTCTTAGTTTTTAATAGTAGAAAATTATGTGTACATATTAAATGATTATTTATTTTGAAATAAAAATATTTTCTAAAATGTTTGAAAGTATAAAAATTATTTTTAAAATAATCTAGATAATCTTTTATGTTTATAAAACAATTCAAATCTCAATATATGATGTAATTTTATATCTAAATTTTTGTATTAACTAATTAAATTTGAATAANCCCCAGTTTGTAGAGCTTTTTTTGCTGATCATTTTGATAAAAAAAAAGTTCGTCTTTCGACAACAAATGACGGTGATAGAGTCAAAATACTGAAAAAAGTCAAGTAGCCAAAGCCATTTCACGTTTTTCAGTATTTTGACCCAATCACCGTCATTTGTTGACGAAAGTATAAACTTTTTTTTACCAAAATGATCAGCGAAAAAAGCTCTACAAACTGTGATGCATCAAAACATTTTCTGAGATCTTCGTGTTTTTATGGTTGAATACCCATGGAAATACCCATATTCGATTTTTGCCAATATGTTTTAGTAAATGTCTTATTAACGATTTGATTAAATGAACAATCTACATCAAATGTATATTGACAAAATGTTCCAAACCATAATGACGAACAATTGTAGAATATATCAAGTTTTGATAATGTATTTAATGGGGAATCAATATATTCATCATAATGTTCGATAAGATCAATTGGTGCTGACCATAAAATCAAATTTTGTGTAGTTACCTGCTTCGCTCGTAATTCTTCAAATGTAAATCGAGATAAAACATTTCCTTCATTTATTTCATGATAAATTTCACTTTCCAATAATGGACGTATACAATATGGAATTATTTGATAATTATTTTTCAGATTATTTGACGTTCGTAGATTTTGAATATTGATATCGGGCACTTCATAATATAGGCAATCAAAGTACCTGTAATTGATATTTGTTCGATCTGTATGATATAAACTAAATTTTCCTTGAACATCTTGCCGAAATAAAACCCAAATCCACAAGATAGATTGTAGAAACATCGGAAAACAAACTTTCAGATAAACTATACGAGAATGTTCGAAAACTGTTTTGAAAATAAGCTAAAAAAGAAAACAAACAATGTGATAGAAATATTAGTTCTCTCATTAATAGACTGAATGACAAAAAGTAACGATTCTATTTAAATTTACTACATCAATATGTAAAATATTTAATTCAATGTGTCTTTTAAAAGTGATAATATATCTACAAAGATGTGTAAGAGTTGTGAAAACACTATTGTTTAAGTTATTATTATTTTTTGGATGCATATTTCTTTTTTCTTCTTGATCCTCTCTCAGTATATTTGTCACGTTTCTTTGAGTATTCCATTTTACATAATTCTACTATTCCTTATATATATTTTTTTCACCGCTGTACTAGTGCATTTGATTATCATGCGTCTTCAAGTCTTTACATATCTCATATTAATAGAATGGTTACGAAATCAGGGGACACTCTCAGACTGAAATTTGATACGTTCAGCAGATAGAGGGGGTTGGCACCTATATCTTTTATCACTGAATAGATCTACTCGAGTTATATACGCACTTAAAATATCGGATGTCTCTCATTCTAATTAAGAAAGATAGCACATATGAATAATGAACATGTGTTGGAGAATTCGGCAATTCATAATTTTTGCTAGGGATAAGGTAAAAGTGTGACATTTTTTCTGTTGATAGTGGTAGAACAATAAAAGATGTATATATTCGATAGAAATTGGAAGCATTCTATTAAATCTACAAGTTGATAAAAAATACTAGCGTGGTATCTATTTGAATAACTTTAAGAGACATATTGAAAAATATCAGAAAACGAGATCTTTACTATAGAAAACTGTACCTAAGTTTCCATAGAAATATATTGAAGATTTCTGTTCTTTGGGGTAAACTTTATCTAATATAAATTAGCCAGTGATTTTCTAATGCTTCTCATGAAAATATTTTTTCAAAAGGAAAAATAAATTGTCAAAAATTCTCCTACCCTTCTCTTTAGGGAAAGAATTCCATCTCAAGCAGCCTGGAGGGATATGAGAATTTTTGAAAACAACTGTTTTCTTTATTTTCAAAGTAATAAATTGCTAAAGGAACTGAGACACAATTTCCTATGGGAAAGATCTCGTTTTCTCATATTTTTCAATACGTTCTCTGGAGTTATTTGATCAAATGCCGCATTAATATTTTTATTGAATTGTAGATTTAATAGAGTGCTTTCAATTTCTATCAAGGATATGCATCTTTTATTGTTCTATCAACAGAAAAAATTCCAGATGTTTAGCTTATACCTAGCAATAATTATGAATGGCCAAACTTCTCAACACATGTTCATTCTTCAAATATACTGTTTTTCGTAATTAGAATGATAAGCATCTGATGTTGCGAGTAGATCTATTCACAGGTAAAAGATATGTGTACTGGTGAATTGAAAAAAAATCAGGATGCATCAGAAAACTTTTCTGATATTCAACCGATTTGTGCGTTTGTGGAGTCAACTCTAGCAGTTTTACCTACTGAAAATATCAAATCTCAGTTCGTGGGGTCTACTGTGAACTTCGAACTTTAATTACCTCATTTTTTTATCAATCATAGTTACACAGAAAAAATAGTTTAAAATCTAAATGTGTTGAGCTGTTCTGAGTGAAACATTAAGTTCATTCAGTGATATGTTCATATAGTAGAATGCGATATTTCGTTGTTTTTCCACTCAGCAGTAAAAACAAGATCTTATAACATTGAAGTCACTAGAAATGTTGCATACTTTTTGTAACAACCTCGGTTGAGTTTATTGTGTATCGTTATATAGTATCACTTTCTTATGGAGTTGATTGTTCGTGCATGTTATTCCAACCGTATCCTGTCATCGGTTGTTATATCATGTTTCTCTTCTCTCTTCGATATATATATACTACTCATTATGTAACCGTCTACTGGCTCTCATCGTGTTGAGTTTATCTTTTCTCCTGATATAATGATATATCACTATTTAGACTAGCGCGTGCTTCTACTTTGATCAATGTTCAACGTTTGCTCTTTCTCTTTCTCTCACTATGATATCTATTCTTTTCCTCTATCGTTCTACACTGGGTATATAAAGAGTAGACGAGAGAGAATAAAGGCATTCTAGTGTGGAGTAAGCACTAAAATCGTTACACTTTTGTCTGCTAAATTCGTGTTGAACTAAATTATTTTATAGTGATTTAATTCCTTTCGTAATTTATCGATAAACGTTCAGTTCTCAAGAGGCTCAACAATTGTGACAGTACCGAAAATGATGCTGATCTGCTCCATACTATAGTGAGGACCAATTGAAATTTCCCATTTTCGTTTCTTGTGTTTTTGTTAAGCTACACACAAAGCAAAACTCGAGTAGAAAACAAAACTCAATAAATTATACGTCAATCGATAGAGATTTTCACGCTGACTTAGAATATATATCTTTCAAATTTCTAGCTCTCACCTGAGCCGAGAAAATCGCACGACACAAAAAAATTCAGAAAAAAACCAAAAAAGCTGGGCTTTTACCAATAATCTCAAGGTTGATGTATGTTAGATTAGACTTTTTTCAACAAAAGTATTTTATCTAAATGGATCATATAAAACTGTGCTATCCAGATGACTTTGATGATATTTTACCTATCACATGACTGGCTTGCTAAGACCTACGTTGTATGTTCTCGACAGCCTTACTTTGTAAATCTGTCTTTTTTTTTATCTGTAAGAGCTAAAATGATGTTTTGTTAAGTATTCAAACCATTAGATCGATAAGAAAAAAGGTGACATATGCTCGTATTCCGGAGTTGTAACGTTGGTGAGAAAATCAACATTTTCTGCAACCATGATAAAATGTAGCAAAACTGCTCAAAATAGCATAATTTTTGTCGAATTTCATTTGGAACGACTTGTTCTCATACAAAATAAATATGATATTCGGAATCAGCGCAACAAATCACGTCGAAAATAGTTCCCTTCAAAATCTCATGTGCATCTGCTTTCAGCACAATCTGGAGGGAAAACACAGCTGAGGGGGACCACAGGCAAGTTTCGACTGGAACCATTTTCTAACAAAATATAATTTATTCGACGTGATTTGTTGCGCTGATTCCGAATATCATATTTATTTTGTATGAGAACAATTCGTTCCAAATGAATCTCGACAAAAATTATGCTATTTCGAGCAGTTTTGCTACATTTTATCATGGTTGCAGAAAATGTTGATTTTCTCACCAACGTTAAAACTCCGGAATACGAGCATATGTCACCTTTTTTCTTATCGATCTAATGGTTTGAATACTTTAAAAAACATTATTTTAGCTCTTACAGATAAAATAAATACGAAAACATCGGATTTAAATTCGAGTGTTATGTGTACTTCAAAAAGTGACCAGGTATATTCACTTTGTTTTTTATTATCTGAGACATATCTACCCTATTTGATTCCTACATGTATTTTTTCTGCATTTTGAGACCTTTTCGGGGGATGTTTTCTTAGGAAGCTATGATTTGGTTCAAAACTAATATCAGATTCGGAAGCAGCGTTAAAAGCTGAGTCAATTTGTGTATGTTGTGAATAATTCGGAGAAACAAATTTTTTTTGAAAAAATCCCTGTGGGTGTGGGTGGGTGGGTGTGAGTGCGGGTAGGGGTGTGAGTGTGCGATTGCTGTTGGAGAGAATAAGCACCTACACCCACACCATAGTTATACTGGTTTGATCAAAATTTCGAAATCTTATCAACTTAAGATTGAGAACAATATGACACAATGGTTTTTGGATAAACTTGTTGTTACAATTTAAATGAACAATATTGTGGAATATTTTTTTATCAATTCTTTGTTTATTTCTACTTAAATCATATTATTATAAAAATGACGTGCTATACAAGCAAAATCTACTTTTTTTTTTTGAAATGAAATTAACTGAAATATATTCTTTTCTCAAATGTAAACCTTCAGTATATGCACACAATCATTTTGCTTCACCTATCAAGGGGAATTTTGTTACGATTTATAATAAGAAGGTGTGATAGTTTGAAAATCCATACCTACATGCCCATTATCCACATCAAGCGTATCTATTTTTTTGACTGCTATTATTTCGCTCGATCATCGATTTGCTCCTAAGTGTTATGCAACTTTCGCTTAATTTATTTCCTTAATGTTCTATAAATTACTCATAAAAACCATTCTGAACATTCGATGAAATAAAATTTTGCGAAGTTCTTTTCTTGATATTTTTGTCTGCTACTATTAGACCTAAGATTAATTCCTATTCCCAATAGTTGAAAAAGGAAATAATAGAAACATGTTTTATAGATTGTATTATGATCTCTATTAGGTTGCACAGCAAGCGTTTTCCAACAATTTAATGTTCATTCCCTTAGATGTAACTTAGAGTGTGAGTATAAGTAATGTGAAGAATCATGTTTCCATCCAGCATATTGGAAAACACAATGATCAAGTGAAAATTTGACAAGATACCATCTAGTATATTTGAAATTTTTTATGAATAATGACAAATTGTGAGTAAGAGATGATGTTTTCATATTTCTCTAGACAAAATATTCGATCTGATTTTCTCATTGCAGTATAATCACTTTTTCGAATAGTGATAAAAATGGTTCTGTCTATTTTTTCTTGCTAATATGAGTATTTGTTCCTTTTTTCATTAATATACTCCTGTTATATGCTTTAGTTAAATAAAATGTACATGAATAAGAATAAAATATTCATCAAATAAACTTATGAGACAAGAGTCAAAAAGATTTTTATTGTCAAAGTAAATTATGAAAAGTATCTTTGTTAATAGTGAATAAAGTCATTGTTCTCATTTCGATTTATAATGATCAATGAAAAGTAGAAACTATAGATTTTCTCGACTATAAAACAGATAGGAGTATGCCATGTTTGAATATGAACTGATGTAAGAATAATGGAGATTCGTGTGCGAATACGAATATCTTTTACTTAATGATGATTTCCAACTACCAGTATCTTGATTGTCGTCTTGACTTTTAATGCTTCGTTCGAAAATGTTGCGCATATTACTGATTTTTTCGTCTTGTTCTGTTTCTTTTGCTTTTATCTGTTCAATATTGGTTAGACAAATTTTCATGTCTTGTTGAAGAACTCGCATTTCGTAGCCATGTAATCGCTCATCTTCGAGACATTTAGCGTTTTCATATAAATAATAAGGTGGTGCATCTTGACGACCTTTCAATGCAGGATAAAATTTCTCATCACATTGATCAATGAAATCAAGTGTGAGTAATAAGTGAGCATGACCATGACAATCAAGTGCGTATTTTACTGTTGAACCTGCTGATTCCCACTGACCAAAATTGATTGCAATAGCATCGACTGGCCATTTGACCTGATTTGATTGTTTCTTACGGCGAAGATTATTGCGAAGAAGTTGGCATGTGTAGATGGCCACAGTCCAGAACAGAGGTAAACACACAAGTTCACTATTAACAATATGCCATGGGGGATTCGGATGCATGAGTAGATCGCGCACATATTCCTTTTTGTTTGTAAAAACGAAGCTTGATGTTTCACGATGGAAGTTTAGTCCATATCTGTGTTCTGGTGAAACATCATAGTTTACAACTAAAATAAGTATACATACATAAATTGTATATTCTTTACAATGTTTTGTTGTCCTATTTAACGTAACAATATCTTCTATTCTTCTCGATGAGTATGAGGACATCGCACGTAAATGATGAGAAGATTAATAGTAATACTTACATAGATAAATTTTCATGAGTTTGTAAAATTTCATAAACTAAATGTCAACAAATGAAATATTGTTCACCATAAGAAATTCTATAGTAGATGAAGTAGTCCAAAAGAGGTTTAATTGTGTTTTATTTAGAATCTCACAAAATCTTAACGAAGTAGTATCATATCAGCAAGTATGCAAACGATACATTTTAATCTATCGATGAGATTTTTTCAATCTCATTGCTATGAACAGTTTATGAACCGCACAAAAAAAATCATAAGTTTGATCCTATGTTCTAATAGCACCTTGGTTTAGAAAAGTTATCTGTTCGATAACTTCTTTCCAATTTGATTATCGAAGAAGCTTTTTTAATTTCTTTGTACTTCTTTTTCATTTCCAATAAGTCTATCGTATGGTATATTCAAACTTTTATTTCTCATGAAAAATATGATCTTTTCAGGATCTATTAACCCTTTCCGGCCGGATGTTGCCAAATGGCAACATTTTCTCCTAGGGGGGTACGGCAATTTTGAAACAGCCGGCCGGAAAGGGTTAACGAAGACCACTCGAACCTTTTTTGTCTGCTTGTTTAGTTCATACTTTTCTGTGCAATGCATATTCTATGCTTAGCACTAAGTCAATCTGGTTTCTGTCATATAACTCAAAAACATACCCAGGTTGAAAAATCTGACATCAGATCGTACAGGATCTTATAAGATCTTGTTGTCTGAACAAAATCTTACAAGAATCTGACAAAAAATCGTAGTCTCTGATTTCTTACACTAAGTCGTATTAACAGTTCTTATAAAGATCTTACATGTACTTTATGTTCACCACAAACTTATAGTGCTATTTGAGGGTCATATTAGTTTAAATAGAATGGTGCTGTGATTAGTTCACGACGCAACAGATTCTTACAAGGATCTGTTAATACGACTTAGTGTAAGAAATCAGAGACTACGATTTTCCGTACGATTTTCGTCTGATCGTATCAGATCAAATATGATCAGACGTACGATTCTTGTAAGGGCTTATTATCTGAATGTTCGCCCTGGGTACTTCTTTGATATCAGATTTTTAGTCTTTTAGAGTTTAGCACAAATGTCTATGTCAAAATCATGATGGCAAAAACTCATTGATACTTAGAATTCGCAATTTCTCTTATGTATCAAATGAACGTTTCATGTCGCAAAAAATTACAAATCGACAGCGTGATAAAAAACCATTTGAATCAGTTTGATATGAAAAGTATTGACAACATTTGTGAAGAACGATTAATCGATCTGGGAAAATTTTTTGGATATTAATTGCCACTAGGTAGAATAAATGAAACTATTCGATTTTAAAACTGAAATAAAACAGAAAATCTGATATTTTCTCGTAAAATCAACAGTGAAGGTATGTTGGTACTACACATCAAGAGTATTTCTGAAAACATTCGAAAGGATCAATATCTTTTTTTCTCACCTTTGGAAATGGGTAATATCATAGCAATATTTTCCTCGTAAATATAAAGACCACACTTTCCGTTGTTCTTCTGTTGTCCTGCCACTTCATGGAAGCAAACAATATCAGCTCGAGCATTTTTATTACTCTTATACAATGGTATTTGTTTTGGTGCATTTAAATATTCTTCCGATATAAAATTTTTATACTTGTCAACGTAGATACGAGCAACTTCAAGAAATTCTCTTTGCTTATCATATGATAATAATGATAGATGACTCCATTTCCAGTCAAACCAAGTCACTGGATCCAAGTTTGTACGTAATTCCCAAAGGTTACTGTTCGTAGTTGCAGTTTCACCGTTATAAAAAGATACTGGCAAAAATTCAAGTCGAAACTTTTTATCAAATCGAAAATTGGTTGTTTTGCAAAGATTCTCAATTTTATTGAGCATTTCTTTGGCTAGATATGCTAAATGATGACTCATTTCTTGGATATCTGCATTGTCATTAGTAATATCAAAGTAATTATCTTTGTTACTACTGCTTACTAATACTGGTTCTGTTGGTAACAGATGAACGTAGTTGTCATTGTCTTCTGGTATTTGTTCAACTTCCACTGAATTAGTTACGAGTTCCTTTTAAATAAAACGATAAGGAAACATGCTGATTATGATTAAATTAATACTAACTATCAATACAACATGAATCGATAGTGTTTTAGCTAATGATGAACTAATATAAATTGTTTTTGGAAGACCTAAATTTTAATTGATAACAGCTTTCTATCGGTATTTTCTCGAAAAATTCAAAATCTTATGAAACTTTGGTAAAACTCATAGTGTAAGTTCATCGAACTAATCAGAACCTAGGCCGAAGCCCATATAGAACTTTCAATTAGTGTTTAAATTCATATTATTCCATCTAAAAGCATATTACATCTAATAAAAATGTTACAATTAGAGATTCAGTAGTTCATTTTTTCGTAATCCCGAAGTTTGAATTTTCATACTCAAAAAGGTTATGTAATTAATAGGTATATTTCTTTTTTTGCAACCAAATTTTGAAGTTGATGTTGGTTTCTTGTGTTTATAAAAACTTTTTTGTTTGCGAGATAATTTATTCCAATGAAACAATAAGTTTTCTCATATATTTAACGATAGAGATCATCATTTTCTGCATGGATAATTATTCTCCTGAGAAAAAAAGTAGATTACTATTTATACGTATTTTTTAGTTTGGAGCTACATAAAGCTATAACTAGAAAGAATTTACATAATATCAAATAAATTTAGCAAATTTTATCTATAGTTTTTTGAAATAGAGACTATGTTCATATGATGAATGTTATTGACAAAATGAATAGTTGTCTAGAATGATTAAGTTTCATAAGATTTCACTCTTAAAACAATCGAGATTTCAGTGAATTCTTTAATCAAACTGAATGATATTTTGTTAAAATACTCTTGAGGAAAGTTAAAAAAGATCACAGACTTTAATGAACAAAAATGTAACAAACCTTAGACATCGGAGTAATTTATATTAATAAATATTTCTAAAATCATCTGTGAACATTTTAAGGAAATTTATTTGTCAAACTAACTAGAATTTCTATCTTAATGATGTATAGTCACTTTTCAGAAATTCTAAATTTACGTTAGATTGATCGTAGTCTTTTCTATCATTTGAATATATATATATATCAATGAAGAGCGCACCAATTGCACCGTTGGGATTCGAAAAGAAAAATGCCTATAAGTCGAGTTCTACTCAATCGATTATGATAATTTTTTTTTGTTTTATTGTTCGATAGATGATCATTTACTTCTGAAAAATATCAAGTTTCTAGCTGCTTTAGTTTTCGAGAAATTATAACAATAGTAGGGTGTGTGGGTGAAGAGATCTCTTTTGTCCACACCCACACCTTCCGTCTTAGCTCTATACAAAGTTTTATGAATGAAAAACTATCAATAATAGATGTTAAGATGCTTTTCATTTTTGTGTAGACCGAGATTAAAATAATTTACCTCCAATTTTAAGAAATTTGATTGCAACAAACTTGATTGTATATTACAGAGAGACGAGAAGAAAATAATTTGACAAACAAAAGACGTTTGTTTCGTTAACTTCGTTAATAGAAAAATATGAATAAAACATAAAAATCCGTGTTTACACTAAATATAGAACAAGATTTTCAATTTTGTTATTGCTATAACTCAATGAAAATAAAATCATTTGCAATGAAAATTTGATTCTTTTTTCATTTCATAGAGTACAGTAATATCCCAAAAAATCAAGCAAAAATCTTTCTCCGTTCTCGAAGAAAATTCAGTTTTACTACGAAAATGTAGACCGAGATTTTTGTGATAAAAAGGGTAGAGCGACATTAAAATCATCGGAATTTCATTTAAATAAATTTTGTTCAAACAGCCTTCGTTGAATATCAAGAGAAGATCTAAGGGAAAAATTTTGACACATAAAATAGTTTTATTAGAAAAGTGTGTATAGGAGTAGTTTATAGAATAAGTATATTGGAAAAATGGATGGAGCATATAGAAATTGGCTGTGATGTCGTGAATCTCCATAATAGCACAGAGAAGTGTTTGGAAAATATTATTTTGTATACATATTCGACACAGCTCTGTTCAATACAACACTTAACTCTTCTTTATCATGGAATTTATTTTTTTCCAAAAACTGTACAATTAGTGCACTCTTCATTCATATATACATATCATTTAATTACTGATTGTGAGGAAAAGAATAATTCAATATTCAATAATAATGTTGCTTTATAGAATAAGAAAATATTACATACTAATGAATCAATATCAACGATGCACATTCAAGTCGTATTTATTTGAAAAGTTAGTATGCTTCAATGAATTGAATTTTGCAGGGATATATCGAAAGAAGGAAATAAATCATTTAGTCGAAATGACTGATTACCTTTTCTTTCGTTTCAATGGTTTCTTGCGATTGAATCGGCGTTTCGTCTGTTGTTGTAGTTACGCAATATGTAGAAATCATGGACTTATTTTGGCTTGATACAGATTGATCGATATTCGCAGCTGCTATAGTAGATTGACGTGATCGTCTAACAACATCTTTATTGGATTCACACAATTGTGATTCCCTGGTAGATAAGTTAGTAAGGTATGGTTGGTCTTTTCGTTGCCAAAATTGCCATGCATCAGCTGCTATACTATGGTGGGAGTTCATTTTTTATAATTATTGCACTATAGTCACTGTAAGACTTATGATAGTCAAAATGCTTCTTGTGAACAAAGAGGATGAGAAGAAAGTATGAAATACTATTTTGCTTTATCTTATACTTCCGTGTTTTTTTTTGGAAACAATTTTTTCTCAGTTATTTTGCGTCCTGTTTTTCATGGAAACCGGAAACGGAAGCAACATATCGGAAACTCGATCTGTCTGTTTTTTTTCTTTTACTTAGATATTCTGGGAATTCTGCTCCTTCAAGCAAATAGTGTCAAGGCCAATTTAATATTCTATTGTCGTGAAATACGTTTCGACACTCTTCCGAAGACTTTTACATTTATTATTAAATCTACAAAAAAAAGAGTAAATATCTTTAAAAACAAGCTAAGAAAGTTTATGCGTTACATTAAAATTCATTTATTACAAGTAGATCTTTCTTTAGTTTTACCCTATTGAAAATAATTATTATTCAAATAATTTCCTTATTAAAGAAATGCTTTAAACTTGAGTTTGACGTGTAAACAGTAAATTTTCTTATAAAACAATACCATGTTATGCCTTTTACTGCTAGTTTATCTCAATCAAAAAAACTAAAATCGCGACAAAAATTTTCGAGGCCTTAATAGAAATAAAAGCTTGTCAGCAAAGCTCTTTTGAAGTTGAAATGTGGAACTCATGTATATCCTTCTTATTTGTTATTCCAATGCATTAGAATACTGTATACAATCGAAAGCCTTTTGTGTGCAGTTGCTGAGGTCTGTAATGGGGTGGGAGAAGAGAAGAACCGGAAAGCCTTGACATCAATACATACACTCACTATTTTCTTCGAAAATATACGTGAGTTTCACAAAATGAGAAGCAATAAAAGTTGTTCATGAAGAGCTTTATCATCCTTTTCCTACATAGATGATCAATTGTGTCAGAAATAAAAAAATCTATATATATAAAGAAGAATGTCTGTTCTTCATGCATTTGGACACGGTACTACCAAATACAATGAAATTTTGCACGGAATACCCTTTCGTCCGGAGGAAGGTCATAGGGTAGTTTTCGATCCAAAATTTTCAACTTAGGAGGGGGGGCTATTTGGGCCTCTCTTTGTTGGATTTCTGCAGTAAATGCCTTTTTCACGGAGACTGCGCGTATTATTTTTTTTCTCAAAAAATCGAGAACGATAGGAAATAAAGATCTAAGATTTTCGCCATCGAGTACAAGAGATTCTAGGGCATGAAGGTATGCTTAGATTTTATTCATCTATTGGCTGAACAATTTTATGTCAGCACCCTTTCATTGTCCATAATATTTCTTTAATCAGCTTTTCCCATTTCCACGAAAATATTCCAAAATGATTAATCTAGAAATTATTTAAAGTGCTCACCAAATAGACTCATCACAATGATTCTCAAAGAGATTTTTCAAGAAGAATAAGAAGATACTAGAAGAAGACCATAGTGACGTCGTTTTCTGTTACACCAAATACGTACTATCAATTTAAGTGAGTGAAGAAGTATGTGTGATTGTGGATTAATGTGTAACAAAAGAGCTCTACTTAATTCACACTCGCATTAACATAGACACGCACATGCACACAAAACCAAGCAGACATACTCATCTACATCCATATCCTTCTTTGTAAATTACACCTCAAAAAAGTTTTCTGCTTCTCCTATAGTAATAATTAAATGGTAGCTATTCTATCTATAATTTCTTTTTATATAAAACACGAACAAATACAAAGTGTCCCAAAAGTCGGTTTATTGAAAAAAAAAACCCCATATTGTCATAGATAGAAAAAAAAACAATAGGAAAACATAATATGCAAGGTGCCGCAGAAGTTACATTACTGGAAAAAAGTTGAATATCTATATTACAGCTCAATCAAATGAGCCGATTTGTTTCTCAATGTCAGAGGCATGTGTGAGCTTTTTATCTACAAAGATATACCTAGAGAGAACCTTTGCTAAGTATATCTTTCTTTTTTTCTATCAGTGACATACGAAATTTTTTTTCTTATTATACTTAACAAAGAATTTCTCTGGGTATGTCTTCTATCATTAATAAAAAAAATCAGCTCATTTTTCTAAGCCGTCATGGGAATATCCAAGTTTTTTTTCAGAAATCTACTTTTGCGTCAACCTGTATATATATATATATATATATATTTAAGAAATTATAAATTTATAATCATTGTGTACAATGCACAAAATAGTTTTCAATGTTTTCTGTTATAGTA